GGTGTGGGGCTCAACTTCAGGCAGCCTAGAGGTTCCCCTGCAAACCATCCTTGGCAGGCCTACCCCCACCCCATCGTAGGCTCTCACAGCTCAGTGTTGTGTCCTTCTCAGCCACATTGGGGAGTAATCAGCTTTATCCACAAGTGAGTAGCCATCATGCTGAGAGCACTGCTTCTCCTTGACCTCCAATCAGCAAGGCTGCTGTGGATTCAGTTCTCCTTCCAGTGTACTCTGCTCCAAGACATTGCCCAGCTCCAGCCTGGGCAGATGTTTCTCTGCTCTGATTCTCCTCACCTGGTTCTCAGCTGGGCTCTGGGCTCCTCCCAGCTCAGTCCTATTATAAGCTCCTTTGTGTCAACTGGACAACAAGTGCTTCTTCCTAATCTGGAGTCTGCTAGGGTGGAGGTCCCCATGGGCTCTGCCCTTTATGGCACCATCTTGGCTTTGACAATGACCAAGATAATAGTAATAATGAGAAATGATGAAGAGTTTCAGGAGCGTATCTGTGTATGTATTTGTATATATTTTAATATATATATATATATATATATATATATATATATATATATAGAGAGAGAGAGAGAGAGAGAGAGAGAGAGAGAGAGAATGGAAGATGGAGGCAGAGTCTAAAAGTCAAAACAAACATCTGCAATGAGAACCCCCAACACATCTTTTAAATACAGTTTAATCTAAGACCATCAGACCAAGTGTTGAAGAGGATACGGAGCAACTGATACCCTCATAAATGGCTTCCCTATGAACGAATGTGGGGCTCAAATTCAGGCAGCCTAGAGGTTCCCCTCTAGGGGATGCAAAGTGACAGAGTCTTTGGAGAAGAGTTTGGTATTTCCCGTAAAGGTTCCGTACACACTTGCCATGTGACTCAGCAATTCTCCTCTCAGGTCTTTCCTCAACAGAAATGACAGCATGGGTCCATATAAACAATTTCTGACAATGTTCCTAAGAGTTTCAGAATTGGAAACTGAAAATGTGTAGAATTGGTCAAAAAAATGGAAATCACTCAGACGTATATCAATTGGTCAGTGGATAAAGTGTGGTGTGTGCCTACAAGGAATGCCACTCACCAGGAAAAGGAATCTGAGATCTGCTTGCATCTCAAAAATAGTATGTGAACTGACAGAGCCATTCCTAAAAGTGTCCATTTGCATCATATTTGGGGCAAGGCAAACTAGAGGAACCCAAGCAATTAGGTGACTGCCTTAGAGCAGGATTCAGGGCAAGGAAAGGGCATGAAGAAGTTTAGGAGGTGAAAGAAACTGGTAAAACTTGTGGTGGTGGTGTTTGCTTATCTTACATGTTACCTCAGAGTGAGTAAATTGTATACACAAGAGATTAATTTAATTGTATATAAGTTATTCCACACTGGGCTGTGAATGGATGTAGCTCAGTGGTATAGTGCTTGCCTAGCAGGCCAAGGTGGTAGGTGTGGTCCCTAACACTGTACACACTCATGCACACACACACACACACACACACATTCACACACACACACTTAGACTCAACAATAAGGCTATTTAAAATCTATTAAAAATCTACAAAATATTGTGGGAGCCCCTTTGGGTAATACAGTGTGCTTCTGCAGAACTGAAACATAGAGGCATGCTCACAGGAGCTCAGTAAATGCTATAAGGATGCACCCATCAGTCTTCACCAAAAGGAAAGTCTTTCCTGTACTGGGCCCCCTCAGGCTTACTGTTAACCTTGTCTGTGCCCTGGTGGCCCAAATGGCAAAATGGAATTTTCTTCTTTTGCCCCAAATTCATGAAGGTCTTTGGGCTTAAATGTAGTGAATGGAAACAAGGAGGTCATCTCCCCTGGGAAAAGTGGTGCCCCAGGAGGGCATGTCAGTCAGAGGTTGGGGAGTGGGGGACTCTCAAGGTCTTTGGGATGAGAAATCCAGCTTCTGAATGTCTGAGAGAAAAAGATTTGAGGGAACCCAGAGGCACATTGAGCATTATTTGCTACCTTTGTACAATGAGAAAAGATGAGAGGGTTTTTATAGGAAGAGCCAGAGAAGTTTAGAGACAGCAATGAGGGGAGAAGGAAAATCAATGATGTGGATGCCATAGTGAGTGGGGGATGGTCAGGAGGCTGCAGGGGGAATTCTGCAAGGCAGAAGGACACCTTACTGGAGGGAGAGGTTCTCAGGGAACCAGGGACAAGAATCTCTTCTCTGGACCTCCTGAGCCTCCAAGGCCTCTTCCAGGGCACACCACACTGAAACATCTTCTCAGATGTGGTATAATCTTATTAGTGTGAGGCTCACAGTGTCTGCAGATTCACAGGGAATAAGAGCCAACTTCAGGAGACAGGATCCTGAGGACCCCACCTGGCTCTCCTGGACAAACTCATTAAACACAGGCTGTAGGGTCAATGGAAAAAACCCAGTCCTGCTTCTCACAAGTATGGGCCAGTCACCTCTCTGGGATGGAAATAAATGGGTGGGTGGGTTGTTTTAAAGAAGCAGAGACATTTTCTAGTAGTTTTCAGTGTTGGTTGCTGAGATCTTGGGTGGAAGGCACTAGGGTCTGAGAACTTGGGTCCACCTAATTCACACATTGAAATCTAATCTCCAATATAATGGTATTAAGAGTTAGCTCCTAGCTGGGTGTGGTGACACATGCCTGTAATGCCAGTGGCTCTGTAGGCTGAGACAGAAGGATAGAGGATGGGGAATTCAAAGCCAGCCTCAGCAATGTTGAGGTGCTAAGCAACTCAGTGAGACTCTGTCTCTAAAAAATAAAATAAAATAAAATAAAATACAAAATAGGACTGGGGATGTTGCTCAGTGGTTGAGCGCCCCTGAGTTCAAACCCAGCTACCAAAAGAAAAAGAGTTAGGGTCCTTAAGGGATGAATAGGAAACCACTGGTTATTGTGATGAGTTCTTCTTCATCAAATGTTTAAGTTTGAGCATTAGAGAAGTGCCAAGGTAAGCATATAAAGGAGGTTTTATTTAAAAAGTAGTTAAAAAAAAGTGGTAATAAAAAGACTTCTCCTGGGAGAAAGAAGGAGGCCATAGCTGCTGGTATCCTGGTATTTCTGAATTTAGGGTTAGGGTTAGGGTTTGGTTTCGGGTTAGAGTTTAGGGTGAGGGTGAGGGTTGAGGGTTAGGGTTAGTGTTAGGATTAGGGTTTAGGGTTTAGGGTTAGGGTTTGGGTTAGGGTTAGGGGTTAGGGTTAGGGTTAGGGTAGGGCTAGGGCTAGGGTTAGGGTTAGAGTTAGGGTTAGGGTTACCTTTCTCCCTTAGTGACCTCTCCCCAATGGAAAGGAGGCTAGGGTCCTTTACCTCCAGTCCCTCAGGGTACAGTAAGGAATTTCAATACCTAACCCAATCATAGGATCTAACTGTCCATGATCCTATTCAACTGTCTCCTACCTAAGGAAGGCACGAGAGATTGGGAGCAGGGTAGGGAATAGCAGTTTTACCTAGCTCCTTCCAGACCTAAGTCAGGACTTACATTAAAAGGTAAGTGGAAGAATTCTTCACGCTCAGTAAGAGACTGATCTAAGGCCCTAGGCAGGAAAAAAAAAAAGTAAAAGTGTCTTTTACCTGAACTCATACAATACTAAACCAAAAAGTAAATTGTGTGATACTTTACTAATTACCAGCTGGTCATATTGTATAGGACTCTTTGTTGTTTTTTTTTCTTAAATTCCATATTTTTTGAGACCATGATTTTGATCCTACACACCCAGGTTAATGTTTTTCTGATCAGTCCTATTTTTATTCAACTTTTAAAACATCTGTAACATTGCACTGAAAATTTGCCCTCAAAAAGCTACAGGGCCTTTGCTATTGTGTTATGTGTACACACTTGTGTTATGTGTTGTATGTCTATATGTGATTACGTTTGGGAGGTCAGTCCATTGGTATGGTTTAGTTGGTCACTTAGCTACCTCAGTCGCAGGGGGTAGAGATGCGGAGTCAACACATAGACATTTTGGGAGCTGGTGAGAGCGCTGGCAGGTGACAACCTCAGCCAACCTCCAGGCAAGCTCGTTTAATGTGGAAGTGATTACAATTGATATAGAATGCATCCTCCAGTCATACATAAGCAAGC